GGGCTAATGTTATCCTATGGGTAATGTTAATCCTATGGGAGACTATTTTCCTAAGGGAAAGGGTAGTTTTTCTCCATGTTAATCCTATGGGACTAATGATGTTAAGTCAATGGAAGAATGCTTTAACATGGGTTTCTATGGGATTACAGCTTATCTCTATGACATAGGTTTAACATGGACAATACTATATCTATGAGACTAATGATTAGTCTATGGGATAGAATTAATACGGGCTATATGGAGATATATTAGACGAATCTGACAAATTAATCAAACAAATTGTTGTTAAAAATATTTAAAATTTTCAAAATAACAATAGTAAAAGTATTTCAACAATAGCATTGAAACATTTAAAATCTTTAATGCACCTCCGAATTGTGGTTAACGTATAGCATCGCTGTGTGATCCTTGTTTTATAATGATACTAGGTTGTTCAGAAATAAATGTTCATTTTGGCCATAACTCAAAAAATAATTAAGATAATTTGATTCTGTTTTCAGTTTCTAAAAACACTAACACATGTCCACATCTCATATAATTTTTCTCTACAAGCTCTACCTTTTTCTTATGGTATATAAAACCAAGTTATGTAACTTTGTCATAGTTTTAAATGAACTGTTTTAGCAAAATAATTTTTCTAGCAGACACTGCACTACACTGTAAGTCTAAAATGATCATTGAATAAAAAATGACGAAGTTTAATTTTGTCCAAAAATTCTTTGGTTTTAACCTTCATTATAAAATAATCAATTTTTTAAACATAAAATTATATGTTTAAGTTATAGAGGAGATGTGTAGCTATCATTATGACATAAACACTTATGACTTTTATCAATCAAGAAGATAGTTTTCTTATACAAATAAATTTTATGAACAATTTTTTTGTCAGTTTTTTCAAAATAAATACTCTAAATGTTAATCAATCACAATTAAATTTATATGAGATGTGGACATGGATTAGTGTTCTTTGAAACTGAAAACAGAATCAAATTATCTTGATTATTTTTTGAGTTATTTTAAAATGAACATTTATTTCTGAACAACCTAATACCCTATTAGAGTAGCACAATTTTAGGTCATATGATTAAGCTGTGAACCCATGATACATTAAATAAAAATGAGAAGAGAAAAGAGTCGTAGACACATGGTCGTATACATATAGAGCAATTTAAAATCACTATGGTCAGATATAAATATGAGTTTCAATGGCCCTATAGTATAAGTTATTATTTTACTTTAACATATTTAATGCTTAGTCGACGATCAATGATTATTATTAATCTTTTATATAATCAAACATAATATTTTATGTTAAATTAAAATAATTTGAACATTATCTTTACATTACAAATAAGTTTGATTCAAGATGTTCTATTAATAATAATTAAAATTTTAATTTTCACTAATTATGAAAAGATAATAGAGTAATGTAGAAAATATAGCACTGTAGGTACTGAGAGAGAACATTTTATATTTATATTCAGGATATTGAATGTTAATTGTTAACAGTTCTCACGAGACAGTTCTTAAAGCGGGTTAACCGATTTTATAAATCTTATTATTAAGTTGTTGTTAAAATTGCTAGAACCTTATATAACTCAAGGCACACTAAACCGGTGATGAGTGAAGTTGTAGTAGCAATAGCCGGAATAATACGCCCGGCGATTAGCTTGCTCTTGTGGCGGTCGGCGGTATCGATGTGGTAATTGTTGGCTCGGAGGTTTGACGCGGCCGTAATGTAGTCCATATGAAAGTTGGTGTCGTCGTCCTTTTCAAACTGCACCGGGTTGATTTGAAAGTTAGTGTCGAATAAGTGGGGCGCCGGTATCGCATTCAACAGCGTTTCACAGCGATCAGCAACCTCTAAATCTCTGAGTGCGTCCTCATTTAACTCGTCATCGTTTATTGATATTCTTACACCTGAACACATAACATGAGTTCCACTCATTTACACCAAATACATACCGGCTTTGGGAGTAAACTCTTTGACCACAAGCGTCGACACATAGTCTTTGATGGCATTGATGTCTCGATTATATGGAATATTATAGACATAAGCTTTTAGGTTAGCGGCGGCGACGATGTAATCAATATGTGTCTGATTGTTGGCGTCAAACTCAATGGGATGCGGACATCGTTTGGGTCCCGACCAAAAAGGCATTCCCGAACTGGTCAACGAGTCGACCGGGAAGTTGAATAACAGTTGTTTGATTTGATTGGCGTATTGTTCCTCGAAGTAATTTCTTGCCCATTTAATGCACTCCTCAAAATTGGCTGTTTTATCGTCCACTAATATCTGCTTCACACTCTCCAGTAATCTGTTTGACTCGTTTACTGCCATTTGCATCGTTTGCTTTATAAATTTTGAGTCTCTAAAGAACATTGATATTAGTATTAGTTTATTGAGTATCATATAAATTATTATTTATTACTTGAGGTATTTACGAGCATTTTCGGCAGATTGCGTGAATAAACCTTCAAAGTCATCTCTAGCCCACTGGAGTGTGTGCTCAATGGCGTTGGGAAAGCTCTTGAGCGTACACATGGGTATTGTTTTCTCTGGGCTAATAGGCGTTGAGGAATACGGTTCTGTTAGAAATGGCAGCACGATTTGCACATTGCCTTTAGTGCCTACAGTAATAATGCCAATAAATCAATACAAAACATGAGACAATCTGTGGTAACATATTGGTAAACTAAATTATAAGAATTCCATACCTAATGTTCCCGATTCTAAAAGTGGTTTTCTATAATAAACACAACGACTATCTACGTAGAGGCGGGCGTCAACATTGTCCAAAGCGTTTACTACAACGTCCAAGTTTTCGAAAAAATTGTCATTGTACGTTTGCTCTGTTTCGGGACCGACACGATTTTGGTGGTCAACAATATTTATCTTGGAATTCATACGCCTGATAGCAGTCGCGGCGGTCGCCGACTTATATTTACCGACATCTGTCGGGCGGAATAAAAACTGACGGTTAAGATTTGAGCGTTCGATAATATCCATGTCTGTAATCCAGAGGGCGCCTTTTTGGCTAGTGGCCAATCCAATCATTGCAAAATTCTTAAGTAGTTCACAACCTATGGCACCTGATCCCACCTATTAAAAATATATAGCATATAATTATCTACTAATAAATATTACAAGCTATACATTAGATTATTACCACAAATATTTTTTGATTTGCCAACCGTTGCTGAAAATCGGGTCCGAATATAGCGATCTGTGAGTCGTAACGACTGTTTATTGGTTGAGAGGTGGCTTCAGTTAGGTAATCCTTTGGATCGAGCGGTAGGCACTCCAATGCGTCAAAATACAACCACTGGTACAGTGGACTAAATTTACCTGAACACGCTTTAATCAGCTCTTGGGCTGCAATGCCGCCTATCACGGCATTCATGGGCACGACGTTACCGCGGCTCAAATAAGAAAACAGGCGCATTAATTTCTCGTCAATATCCATTTCTAATTTATGTTTAGCGCGCAAATTGGCCACATTCTTCAGAAATAAGGTGGCGTCCGCGTCGGACCATGAATTCGGAAGCCGAGCATTACTTTCAATAAACGCATGGAGTGCCTGGAAAGCGACGTGCAGTTGGGCCGGCCTTTCCGATTTTGCAAAGTCAGACACCACGAACTTCGGAGTTGCCATAGCTTCCCTCAGTGATTTCTGCAAGGGGAATTATATAAATTAACCTACATTATATTCATAAAATAAAATTGTTGAAAACAAATATCACACAGCGATGCTTTACGTTAACCAGAATTCAGGAAATGCATCAAAAATTTTAAATTTTTAAATACTATTGTTAGAATATTTTCACTATTATTATTTTGAGAATTTTAAATGTTTTTTACAACAATTAGTTGTATTTATAGTGACAGAGTCATTTATATTGGCTTAACCGACAAATAGCAAAGACTTTTCTGTAGCGTTATGTTTGACCAGGTCTTAAAAATTTATGTTATAAGCCAGGTCATCGGTTTCAACTCTCATCAATATATGTGTTTAATGTGTTTACATTTATGTCAAAATCTTTTTAAATTAATTCCAAGAAGTGTTGATTTTAGCCGAACACACGATACCGAACACATTTGAAAATTTAAACTATTTTAGTTTTTACTCATGAGGATTAGTAAATTGGCTGACAAAAACTATATATCAGTTTTAGGTGATGTATTATTTACCAATTAATATTATAAATTGTTTCATAAGTCTATACACATTGGTTATGTTTACTAAAACCGCACCCGAACGGGCCGACCCCGGAAAGTGAAAAATCATGTGCCAAATTGTCGGGATGTGTCAAATCCATGACATCCATACATGAAATTATTGGTCATTATATGCTTTCACTGACCAACAATATATGACCACTTAATAGCGATTACCGTGGTGTCCGGAGCCGATAATTAAACATATGCTCAAAATATGGCTATTTTTGGCCTACTTTTAGACCATATTTTTAGAAAATCGTCCGAAAAAATTAGATGAATTTGAGTGACAAATCTTTCCACACCCACCATATACTCCAGTTATCCCTCTATCAGATGACTGTTAATATCATCCTCTGGTGTCATGTCTTAGGGGTACAAAATGTTAAACAAAAGTAGTGGTCAAAACAGACATCACCCACTTCTTTGACTCGCAGGGCAGCCATTTTTATCGGAAATTAAATGAAAATTTGTCAGAATGATGGCCAATAATTGCAGATAATTATAGCTATTTTATAATTTGAATTAATTTTTGTAATCACAATAAAAATGAATTTTCTATTAAATCAGTCTCGTTGCTTTTCGGTTAAGCCAATAATCCGATTGTTTCATTGATATGCTATTACACATGTTATCCCTATGCCATAAATTTAACACTACTCATAGACTTATCCTTATGGCATTGACTTAGCATTACCCATGTTATCCCTATGCCATAGACTTAGCATTACCTATAAGATTAGCATTGCCATAGAATTAGCATTACCTATGTTAAAGTATAGCCATTGACTTATGCTGTGATCACATGTTAATTGCCCAAAGACTCAAGAATCCCATGTTAAAGTATTGCCATAGACTTAAGCTGTAAACCCATGTTAAATTTCATAGAGCGGGGGAAAGGGGCCGAACGATCCTATAAACCACATTATTCATACTGAATTGTGGTTAAAAATTGTATTGCGTATTGAAACATTATTTTGAACTTAAATCTGTTTTTGAAATATATGATAATTTTTGTGATTTATCATTGTGGATTACAAATTCATATTACGATTGTATTATATTTCTATTAGAAATAATTTTCTATAATATAATTAAATCATAATATCCACATTAAATTGTGTCGCTGTAAGTATTTCTCAAATTCTTTGGTCGAACAACAATTCACACACAGCGATGCTTTACGTTAACCACAATTAGGGTGATGCATAGGATTAGCACTGTCTTTGAAATTAACATTGTTCATAGTCTTAACATTAGTCTATAGGATTAGTAGTAGTCCCATAGAGTTATCATTGTCTATAGACTCAGAATTACCCATGTTAACCTTATGTCATAAACTTAGAATTGCCTATGTTATCATTATTTCATAGATATAACATTGTCTATAAACTTAGAATTAGTCCTGTAGACTTAGCATTGCCCATGTTATTCCTACGCCATAAATTTAACATTGTCCATAAGATTAGCATTACCCATGTTAATATATAGCAATAAATCCCATGTTAATTTTCCATTGACTCAAGAATCCCATGTAAATGTATAGCCATAGACTTAAGTTATAATCTTATGTTAAATTCCATAAAACGGGGGAGGGGTCAGGGATTAGAGTAACGATTTTATAAACCACATCATTCATATCTGAATTGTGGTTAAAAATCTTTTAAGAAAATTTAATGAGATTCAATGATAAATACCTTGAACGTTACTTTTAGTTAATAGAATTATACAAAAATTAATAAAAACAAGAATCACATGCGATGTTCTACGTTAACCACAATTCGAGAAATGCATCAAAAGATTTTAAATTTTTCAATACTATTGTTAGAATACTTTCACTATTATTATTTTGAGAATTTTAAATGTTTTTTACAACAATTAGTTGTATTTATAGTGACAGAGTCATTTATATTGGCTTAACCGACAAATAGCAAAGACTTTTCTGTAGCGTTATGTTTGA